TAGGGAAACCGATTAAGAAAGATACTTGGCTTATAGGCTGTAGTGGTGTACCAAACCCTTTTGTACAATCATTGTCAGATTCTTCTATAACAGTCTTAATCTGCTTAGGTTTCCAACGCAAGATTTTAGGTTAAACTGAATTCTCCTATTTGTCCCTGGTCCCACCATGCTTACACTTTAAAGCTCCCTCCAAATCCCAATAACTGATATAAAACAGGCTTATATCTACAGGAATGGAACACACAAGATCAGAAGGATCATAATCTCCTAACTCCTTATTCTCTCATTTCTCTAACCAAAAGAAAGATACTTTCGATTCTTCTTGTCTGCCTTAGATAAGAAATGCTGGGTTTAAGTACTCGTATGATGCTTTTCCTACTTGTCTGCATAGCATTACTAGCAGACGACAAATGTAAGGTTTTAGGCTTGAGAGGTAAAGAGCTTTTCCTTGGACAAAAACAAGGAGGGAGAAGAGAAATTCAGTCAGAAGAAGTTTCTGAGCTAAGGATAAACGGTTTTCCTGTCAGGCACACCCGTGAAGATCAAGGGATGCTCACGCAAAACCGACGTATTCTAGAGAAAGTCGACCGGAGTAGAATGAATGCGGAGAAGAAGCAAAAACCAAAGAAAAACTCATATGGTCAATACCAATCAAGCAAGAGACGCGTAAGAAGAGGATCAGACCCTATCCACAACAAATCCTGAAGAACCATAGTCTTTTCCTCGAGTAAGACAACAACCATACACACAAAGTGAAATATACTATAGAAATGCAGAAAAAGAAGGCATGAAAATAGCACCGACCTTGTCAAGTTGGAGGTGGATTTGTTGGTTTTTGTATTGTTTCAAGTTCAACTATACTTCTGCCCTCAGTGAGACACAGAATTTTGGCTATTGAAGCCATCAGAGGGGCAACACAACACTGTCTAATCAGACAAGATTTGTTCACAGAAGAGAACATGCTGAAGATGACACAGCTTCCTCAACAGAAGCATATGCAGCTGTTTTCAGATTATTCTTTGAAGAAGTTTTCTGTTTTGTTTGCATCAGTTCTAAGTTTCTTGACAGTTAAAGGTGTAAGTTTTGTCCTTCTGCATTCCTTCTACTCCTCCATACAATTTTCTGATGTGTATATTATATATATCAAATCTCAACGTTTTGATTAGTTACAATTTCTGAGTAAAGTCTCGCTTCCCGTCAATCCCATTTGATCAGAAGAAGAAACACCAATTTATCACAAAAACTTAAGAGTTCTTTAAGCAAATCTCTTGCTTCAGGATACCAGAATGGCTAGGGATTACCCCAAGCTCATAATCACCACTTCCACCTAAACTAATACCATCATTGGCCTCATGATCTTATGATCGCAATTCACAAATTCTCCGCCAGTAATCTTCCAAATATGTCTAAAGAACCAAATACTTAGATACAGTAACCTCAGATGTCATCAATCTATTTAGATAAAACTGACTTTAAGAGCCAAAGATTAAAGTTAAAAATGGTAATCCATTCTCACTTTTGAGTTTTCACATCAACGATTCAAATCTCTTTCCTTCTGGAGCCATCAATCCCTTTACTATGGAAAACACTATCGAATCATCCGTAAAAAAAAAAAAACCTAAAATCCAATTTGAAACAGTTCAAATCGCACAATTACCGATCTTGAGAGGGATCCTATTACAAATCGGTTGACGAAACTTCCAAGACAAAGACAGCGAAAAATGAAATGCGAAAACCGAAGAGAAACGATAACTCACAGTTCGGAATTCGCGAGATCCTCCGGAAATTAGATTGAAAAGGAAGCCGACGCCGGAAAACCCTCGGCGATCGACGCGACGGGGATAAGGTAACTGACGAGATGTTTCATTGTTGGAATACTATTGCTAAAAACGACACCGTTTTAGAAATAGTCTTGTTCATTTCTCAGCTGTAACAGCTCGGTCCATATAAGAATGGGCTGGGCTCATTGTTTTCAATATTTAGGCCTTTTTTTTTAAGGCTTGTATGACACCTCAATCTTGACATTTATTTTGTCACACACGTTATGCGGCATAACGTATTTAATGGACCGACCCTAGGCCCATTCAAAATTATTTGGGCCTCAGGCCCGTTATGTTTATAATGGACCATTTTGGCCCATATATCGATCTCGCCTATTATCTCAAAGGTCGAAGCCCTAACACGAATAATTAAATAAATGAAGAGTAAACAAATAGAATAAAGGAAAGAAGAACGACGTGACGTCACAGAAGAAGAACATAACAATATCAATATCTCCATTAATTTTTTGTATACAATAACTTTATATTTTACGAGTATGATTTGTAGGTAAAACCTATCACCACCTTCTATTAAATTTTGTTGTGATGAATTTGCGAAACGGTTAACAAATGTATTAGTTAAGTAATTACTATAACTACTATATACGTAAGCGTATTAATTAACAGAATTCGAAAAATTTTAACGAAAATAATGATTATGTATATAATTACTTAATTTTAATAATTCATGTAAATATTTTGGAAATTTCGAATTTAAATATAGTTTTTTATTAAATTAAAAATATACGTATAAAAATATCACAATTGGCTAAATCCGTCTAAAAAAATATCATTTTTCTTATTTGTAACGAAATGAGAAAAAAATAATATAGTTATAGTTTGGTTGTAAAACAGTTCTGTCTTGAGATCTACCTGAATGTACATTCCATTTGATTAGATTAATCTTTATTTAAATATTATAAATTTAATAATATAAAGTTAACGAAGTTTGTAGAAGGAATGCCAATGGATAGGCATGCATGTGAACCCTAGAAGACGGAACCCCACCACTTGGTCATTATAATTTGTCCCATATAATATATAATCATCGAGATTTTAAAAACGTGTGTATATATATATATATATATATAGTGCAGGAAATGTAAATTTTGTTGTAATCGATTGTTTTGAACTTACATTTAAAACAATTCCGAAATGTTTTAAAACATCATCTATTTTGATGCTATCATGATAACGAATATTTTTGTATATATAAACCAACAAGGCGAACTACCGCGTGATTAGATTTTTTATATCGGCTTCGACTTTACTATATGTTTTCTTTATTTTCTTTTTTGGTTGCCAAATTGGGGGATGCGCGTGCCCTTTTGATCACTTGACAAGATCTTCAAGACAGTATTCTAAATCCTAATTTATGATGTTCTTTGACCGAATTCTAGATTTGTAATCTTTTTTTTTTCAACGGAGTAGATTTTAATGACTAAATATTAAAATAACACACACAACATAGGTTTGGCCTAAAATTTTAAATCAACAGTACGAGGAAAATGTTAGATAAACTTTTTCTATTTTAGGGTGACGAAAAAAAATTTGATAAATCAACGGCCCGACTAATCAATCGTTGTCAATAAAAATAATAAAACAATATAAAAAATTAAAGATGAAAATGTGTGGTCAACTATCTTTATGAAATGCCGGTTTGGTTAAGATCTAATGAAGCGTAATTGGTGTCTAATCCTGTGATAAACGACAAAATAAAAAAAAAACAATGTATCACATCTAATTATACGTTATCTCCACGCAACGCAAAGGAATATGTTTTTGCAATGGTGATGTGATTCGATATACATATACATATATATATATATATAGCTAGGGGTGTCAAAACGAGCCCGGCTCGCGAGCTGGCTCGTGGCTCGCTAGAAAACGAGCGATCTGAGCCGTAATTTTTTCAGCTCATTAAAAAACGAGCCTAACGAGCCAGAGCTCATTGAACACGTGTTCAATGAGCCTGGCTCGGCGAGTTGGCGAGCTGCTCAACGAGCTGGTATTTTTTTAAAAATATATTAAATTTATATAAAAAAAACTCTAATATAATTTTATATTAATTTTTTTCATATTATTTATATGATATTATAAATATACTAATTATTATGATGGTGATAATTAAAAATATTAAATGGTATTGGTGTTTTATTAAATTTTTATGTATTTATTTAAATTTATAATTATATTTAAAATAAATATAAATAAAAAATATTATATATCCTTGGCTCAACGAGCCGGCTCGTTCAGATCGGAAAACTGGCGAGCGATCTGAGCCGAGATTTTTCTAGCTCGTTAGAAAACGAGCCTAACGAGCTGAGCCCAAAACGATCCGAGCCAAATGAGCCGAACCCAAAATGATCCGAGCTGGCTCGTTTGACACCCCTATATATAGCCCGTAATTGCGGCGGATCATAACCTAATTTAAAACATATATTATTAATTTCACTAACAAAAAAATATGAATAAACTCATCAAATGCGTCCGTTAAGTGGTGTCAATCGGATCGGTCCACCCGATGCCACATGAACCCGTATTCTATCCAAAGATACCAAATTAGGGTTCGAGCCGACCTGAATTTTTTGGATCAAACATACTAAGTCTGAAACTCAACTCTATAGAAATCAGATTCGGATTGGATCCGACCGAACCACTTAATATATATATACAATTTTTTTACGTATTCGTGTCTATATTTTTAAGAACCCGCTATTTTTTGGGTAGATTCGGATCAGATTTTCGGGTTGCGCACCCAAATTGACACCCTCATCGGTTTTAAAAAAATGGTATAACGAAGACATGTCCGAGAATCGGTAGTCACTTCGGGCGACGTCTTCACATTCTGTAAAACCAAGAGAATCCCATTCTCATCTTAAAAGATACACACACAAAATCCGGGTTGGTTTTACATAATCAATTTATTCCGATATAGTTTATAACATATTTTCCGTGTTTTTTAACGTGAAAATAGGTAAATATATATTTTGCCCTATCAGATTATTGTAAAATCGACAATCGCACGAGTCAATAGTGGTCTCAACGAGCTAATTCGAATTTACACACACACATATATATATATATATATATATATATATATATATACATCTACACTTCCCTTAAAATAAATAAAAAGCTAAACGACTTTAGCAAAAAGAAACTGATACGTACATATATATGTGTGTATATCATAAGATAAATTTGTGGTGGAAATGATTGGGCGTATGAAAAGCAAGATTCTTTATTGGATACACATGTGAATAGTTTGGGAACCATATCTAAACAAAAGATCGCAAAGCAAAATGCAAACAAATCACAAATTGCGGCGCTTAAACGACAAGAGGACGGTGGCGATCGAGATTTGATCATTAAGAGAAGTGGTTAAGGAATTAAGACATGACAATTAATTTTTTTTTATATGTCTAATTTCAGAAAATATAGAACGAAACAAGTTTGGTCATTCCCACTAAATCTCTCTCTCTTTTCATTTATTTCACTGTTGACGTTGAATTGTTTTTTTTTCAAGTGTTTCGACGAAACAAGTATTGCCAAGGGTAGTTTCGGAATTTTCTTACAATTTTGGACCCGTAAGAACAGGTCAAATATTATTTTTTTCCCAATACACAAAAGAAAGTTAAGGCCTAACATTTCTTTAATAATAATAATAATAATAATAATAATAATAATAGTAATAATAGTAATAATTTATGTGGCACTCCTTTTTTTTATATATATTTTGTTAGGTGAAAGCCCTAAGTTGTAGGTTATTCGGAGCATATATGAATTATTAGACAGATGATCGTGATATAATATATATATATATATATTTTGGTGAAATCGTGATATAATATATGATTCAAACTATATATAAAACGCTAGTTTAACGAATACCTCATAACCATCTAGGGACAAAAAAATCATAGGAAATAACACTGTGAACTGTGTGTATGGAAATTCGGATGATAAAGAGATACTATTATAACATTATGTGCAAATTGATTCAATGCATGAAACGGGAACACAATTAAAAGTTGGCTATTTAATATATGCGAGAATATAAAATATCGATCGATGTTTAATTATATATTCTTACGAAATTACGTATTGAATTTGCTCATAAACTTTATATATAAACATATAGATATATATATATAGACATCAGCATCGAGTACTCCTCACGTGTCTTGGAGAATAGTGGTTTCTATTCTAATTTTGGATATGTGGATTTGATATTTCACGAGACTTTGGAGCAAAAAAATTCGACTTTATATATATATATACAAATATATGTTTAGCCTATTTAATAAGATTCACTTGGTTCAAACCCAAACGTGGGTAGGTGCATTCACATGAACTTTCCCAGTCCTCTGGGAGATGTAGTCGGACCAAAGGTCCGGTGAACTTCCGGATTATCAAAAAAAAAAAAAAAATAATCATGAACCGACCTATTGGAAGTCCGGAAGAATAATCGACCGTTAAAAACAAAACTCAATCTCGCGTAAGGTAAAAACCGACTAAAACACAAACAAAGGTATCAGAAAGATAAAATTATAAAAATTACGGGGCATAAACGTGAACTTTTTACAGTATCCAACTGTAAGATGTACAGAAGAATATCAATTTGCATGGCAGCTGTTGTCCCTCAGTACGATGCATGAAATGGGCATTTGCCACGTGTACACTCGGACTCTCCCAATGGTTCCCGCGCCAACTAATACTCGCGAATATATTCCTCGGCCAATTAAATAGATTAAAGATAATATATATATTTTTTCACATTCGCATGATTTCTGGTTTTTACCCATTAGTTTTACTCCACGCGCAAGTTACCCCATGGTGAAACGCAAACACACACACAGTGTAAAAAATGTCTTGTAAAATCATTGAAATATCTAAAAAAAAAAGCATGCCGAGTTGCGACTTGACATAAATATATATATATATATATATATATATATAGTTTTTACACATTAAATTTCCAATTCATTTCTCATACCAAATGATTATAAAGTGTATGGAGAGCTAAGGGTAAAACATTCAATAATTTCATGTTTCACTCGAACGATATAAAGTAAAAAAAAAATAAAGAAAGAAAAAGGCTGTTGTAGTTTTTTTTTCATCAGTCGATGCATTGGTCCTCATTTCTTCCGTATTTTCTGTTTTGCTTTTTTATATTTTGGACGTTTGTGAGTGGGAATTAATTTCAATTTCAAATCGTTATTACATTTCATCACTATCATGTTCTTTAGCCAAATAATTACATCATCATCATCACATGCCACTGCCTAGACACCAAACCAATTAACTAATAACAAATATTGCATGGAAAATAATAAAAATATATATTTTGACCTAATCTATGGTTTTCCACATTGTTAAGAAAGGCGTAGGGCACTATTATAAAAAGGGAGATAGACTCGGCAACCATTTTGCACCACCAAAACAAAACCCTAACGAAAAAAAAAAATGGGTTGCTCCTTCAAAGAGTGTCTGAGAAACCCCCCCCGCCGTCGACGGTTGCGGCGAGTTCATGGCTTCTCCGGCGGCGAAAGAAACCGATCCTTCGTCTCTCCTCTGCGTCGCCTGCGGCTGCCACCGCAATTTCCACCGCCGGTACAATCCCTCCGAGTTCCTCTTCACCACCCCCACACCCTCGCCGGAAAACCACGCTCCTCCTCCGCCGTCGTCTCCGCCGCCGACGTACGTCGCATCCCCCGTTCCTCGTTCCTTTTACGCTTCTGGTCCACACATGCTCTACAACTTCAGCAGCGGCGGCGTCTTACGCCGGCCGCCGGATTTTAATATGAACGACGAAGTAAAGATTCAGGCGGTGGCCGTCCGGTCTGAGAACAGTGGGCTTCGGACAGGACAGGTGAAGCGATCGAGGACGAAGTTTACGGAAGAACAGAAGGAGAAGATGCGAGTTTTCGCGGAGGAGAGTGATTGGATGATAAGAAGCTGCGACGAGACAACGTTGGATGATTTCTGTCGGAAATCTGGGATCAGTAGAAATGTCCTTAAGGTTTGGTTCCACAACAATAAGTACAAGTTTCGGGGTCATCGCATTTCTGATCTCAATGGCGGCTCCGACAACGTTGGAGCTCATGTCTCCGGAGATGGGTCGTCGGCTTCTTGAACAAATGCAAAAAAAAAATCCATGAAAAAAAGTTTGATCAAGTTCTTAATTAGTATAGTTTTCATGAAAAAAAAGATCCAAAAACTCGACTCGTGTGATATTATTAGGAGGCCGTAATTATTAATGGGCGAGTTTGTTCTAATCCAAGTTTCTAACGTGTTTAATCGGTTTGTCAGCTTTTAATTAAGAGTTCCAATTTATGCATGAAGACGTATTATATATATATTATGGCGATTTACTTTTCATTTGAACTTAAAATATGGTGATTAGTGAAATAATAACTAGATCTTCATCGACTGTATTTTATTTTTAAATGCTGTATGTGTTGTTAATATTATCTTCTGTTGTCTTTCTTGGAAATAATCATCTCCTGAACTTTTAAGGCAAGTAGTCAAGTAGGTTTTGTTTAATATTATACGTGGCAACGAAGACTGCTGCAGGGTTATGACATGGCGTTAAGTTATTGGCTGGATTTGGGCGGCATTTTCATTGTTCATATTATTATTATTATAATTAATGATAAGCATCGACCAACAGCATTCTCTTTATTCTAATTAAGGATAATTCAATGTTTTGATTGATTCAAACTTTCCGTAAAGCTTTTGGCTCTCCATCACCACTTCTAATAGATTGAAGATTCTTTTTCCATAATTTAATCCCTTTATACGAATTGACTGTTCTACAAAAATCTCGTTTTTGATATCAAATAATAATAATAATAATAATAATACAGAATTTGGAAGAAAAAGACACGATAATAATCAATTTTACAATGTAAATTAAAATAAAAAAATTACCATGTAAAGAAAAAAATAAACAAACATGGGCCTCTTGAGTAAAGCATATGGACTTTATTAAACCGAAATGACAAAGCCCAATAATTCTTAGGCTTTTCTCTCGGCCTGATACTGAGCAAAAACTTACTAGTTTTTTTTATAACGGTAAATGTAAAAAAACTTACTAGTTACTAATACTATACGTGTAAAATGTTAAATTGTTAAATCGTTAAAAACAAAATATAAAAAAAAAAGTTTAACTTTCAACCCGAGTTTACTGTAAATAAAATTCATTCTTGTATAATCCTAACATTTGGAGACCATCGTATAAAAAATAAAAACACATTGCCATTAGTTTTAAATGCCATTTTATCAATTATTTTTTGCTTTTTTTCTTTATTAATTTCACTCCCAATGAAAAGGTTAGACCCTAAAAGAAATAAAAAAAAAAAACGATCCATTAATGCTGTGGGTCTTCTTCCGTAATAATAGTACAATCGAATTGAAGAGGGTGGACACATCAGCACCATCATGGACCGTCCATTAGGGCCACGTGTAATAATAAATAAAAATATTCCGAATGATACGTTGAAAACGAAACGAAATAAAATCATAACGGACCTCTTCTCACATTGAAGTCAACTACCAAATTTAATTGGATTATAATTACGCATTTTTTAGACCGTTAAGTAAGATTTTCTGATCAGTTGGTACGTATTCGGGGTAATAATAATAAACTCCTTCCATGCATCATCATCTCCTCCTTTTTCTACGAATACAAACAAAAACAAATTTAAATAAATATTAAAAACAAATTAATTACATTTAAGTAAAAAAGAAAAAGGGGAACGAGAATCCAGACAAAGCTAGATGGTTTGACTCTTCATTTCCTAGGTTCAACATCGGTTCTCCTCCCAAGACATGGCCCCAAAATAAATAATAAAATAAAAATAAAAATAAAAATATTATTATTATTATTATTAATAAATTTGAATACTTTTGAATTGAATATTTAAGATAAAAACTAAGCTCGTGGAGGAAAAATTGCAAATGGGACAATGTGTGCGTGTGTGTAATGTATATATAGGTGATTGTAGTGTATTGATGAGATATTTTCTGGTCCACAAATGTCGCACCAGATGCCAAAAACCCTATTCCATTAATTTCCCTTTTTATTCGTTTTCTTCTGAATTCAGCGGCTTCTCCACTTCCTCTACCCGAATTCTGCGTCTGCAACAGTTTGAGATTAGTGGGAAAATGATGTGTTTTTTCCCGGGAAAATCATGCACCCAGAAGAGAGAGAGAGAAAAAAGACAGAAACTTTAACCCAGTGATGGCGCGGAACTAAACGAGATGGGCGCCGCAAGAAAATTCCTCACGAGGACGACGGAGTCTTACTTCGATTTCTCCGATAAAGGTGGTCGTTTGAGGCAGTTTTTGTACGGAAACATTTTCCCTGTTCTCGATGGCTTCTGGGTTTCCGTCACTAAGCTCCTGTTCTTCCTTGTCGGGTCGGTCATCTCGTCTGTTTTCAGGTATTTGCTTGTTTGGTTTCGGCAACTTCGCTCATTGTGTCTGTCCGTTTCCCTGCTTTTATGTTAATGGGCTTGTTTCCGACTTTGGCCAGAGTTCGTTCGGACAGAGGGAACAGCTTGGTTGTGTCCGAGGAAGAAAGTCCGAGCTTTTCCTCTGATTACAGAGGACACGACCTTGACGGATCAGAGGGAGATTTTCCCGAGAAAGAAGATCATGCTGTGAAAAAGGATGAGACTTTAGATTTCCCGGAAAGTTCTCTGGTTTCAGTCAGCAGGAGATACGAGTTTCTCTCCGACAACAGTGTCATCAGCGGTTTTATAGAAGAACCTAAAGCCGTAAGCTTTGTCGTTCATGGCGTCTTCCTCGGATCAGACGAATCTAAAGGGCATGCTGTTCATGAGAAACCAGAGGATTTTTCGGATCTTCAAGAGAAACCCAAAACTGTAAGCTTTGATTTTCATGATCTGTACCTCAGTTCAGACAAATCTGAAGAGCTTACTGTCCGTGAGAAACCGGAGGATTTTTTGGATGAACAGGTGCGGGAAGATTCGATCGAGAGCCGCATCCTTGAGAAAATGTGGGAGAAATCTGATGATTCAAGTGAAAGCTGTTTCGCCTTAGAAAATAAGTTGGAGAGTTCCGATGATTTCCTTACGGAACACGTGAAGAAGGGGATGGTAGTTTGTGAGCTCATTAGTTGTGGTGCTGATGTAAAGGCAGAAGTGGTTCACGAGAACTGTGTTGGTGACGGAGAAGAAGTTAGGGAGACAACAACAGAAGAAAGCTTGTCGGAAGATGATGATTTCATAGAGCTAAGACCAGGATCGGAGATTTTAGACATTGTTGATGAAGAAGATCTCATCCAGAGGGAAGAATTCAGCATGAGTTTTGAGGAAAATGAAGATTGTTATAACTTCGATGATGATTCAGATGATGATGATGAACACAATGATGCGATCGAAAGATTGAAAACCGAGCTGAGAAGCGCGAGAACAGGAGGATTGGCCACCATTCTCGAAGAATCAGAAGCTCCATTCGAAGAACCGAAACCGCTCAAGATCGATGCAAAGTTTGAGCTCAAAGACAGAATGGCCGAAATTCAGAAGGTGTACAGAAGCTACGTTGCTAAAATGCGCAAACTCGATGTCTTGGATTCTCAGACAATGCATTCGATCAGTAAGTGGTTTATCCTACATATCCAAATTTCAGATGTTCTTGCAACATCTGCCTGCAGAATTTGCTGAAGAACAAAACATCTAATGTTTTTTCGGGGTTAAAAGTCAAGACCTTTTATCATTGTTTTACCAATTTCAATTTCTCATCAATACCCTTTTGATTTTTATTGCTGAAGGATGTCTCTTTTCAGAAGATTACTCATATTGCAATTGTGGGTCACTTCAAGATTTTTTCTGTGGCATGTCCATTACAGTAAAAAAAAAACATCATTTTCAGATGATTCATGTGTTCTTATGGAGTGTAATGATCTTGGAGGCAAGAAAGTTGAATGACTTTTGTTCATGTTTTTTCATTTCTGGTCCGGTTGCAGGTCTGATTAAGCTAAAAGATTCAACTCAGCCAAGTAGCCGTATCAAAGATTCCTCCTTTCCGGCGGCTAAATCGCCGCTAAGGCAGAATCTATGGCCATTCAAGAAACAGCAACTCGAACGTGATCCAGTGGAGAGACTCGTAAAAGACGTGAGCCGAGACTTTGAGACAGTGTATGTAGGGCATCTTTGCCTGTCCTGGGAGATACTCCATTGGCAATACCTGAAAGTAGTGGAGTTTGAGCAGCATGATCCTAAAGGAACTCGTCAGTATAATCTCGTTGCCGGAGAATTTCAGCTGTTTCAAGTTCTAATGCAACGGTTCTTGGAGAACGAGCCCTTTCGGAGCTGCCCCAGGACCGAAAACTACTTGAAGAGCCGTCGATGTTTTCATAATTTCCTTCAGGTTCCCCTCGTAAGAGGTAATCATCATTCAGAAATCTTTACGTATCTCGACACTTTCGCTAGATATATAGCGTGCTGAAAGATTTTTGCCCGTTGCAACTGTTGCAGACGATCGTTCCTCCTCGAAGACTAGCAGATGCAGAAACGAAGGGGCATTCGCTATAACTATAGAAATGCTGAGAGAGATCATTCGAGAATCCATTCGAGTTTTCTGGGAATTCATTTGTGCGGACAAACACGAAATATCCAGTTCGATCTTGAAGGTTTCTCACCATACCCAAGTCTCTCCTCAAGATCCCCTAGACCTTGAGCTCTTGACAGATATCAGAACAAATCTCCAAAAGGTTTTTCCTTCTTTCTGCTCTTCCTTTCACCATTTTCTTGTTTGGAAGCTACAATGCTTACACTGTCTCTCTGCCTCTTGGACTCGGGTTTTTTCGCAGAAGGAGAAGAGGCTAAAGGAAATGGTAAGAAGCCAAGGCTGCATAGTCAAGAAGATGAAGAACCTGCCATTGAAGGATGAGCTTCTTCTGATAACTCAAGTGGAACTTAAGCTGGTTTCAAGAGTGACAAACATGTCGAAGCTGAAGACAGATCAATTGGTTTGGTGTGAAGAGAAACTGAACAAGATCAGCTTCAGTGGTCGGAGGATTCAACTGGAACCTTCATTCTCGTTGTTCCCTTGTTAGATCCGAATCACTCCTACTTTGTTACCGTTGGTCTTGAAGCTGATAGATACGAGTTTTAAAAAATTGGGAAGCTTCTGATTCAGGAAGAGGGTTTTAGAGATTCCTGAGAGAGTACGTGTATGATGTATGGTTTACTTGACAAATTCAATGCCTATGGATGCTCGCCTCCCATATTTTTCATCATTAAATATAAATTTTGTTAGATTAATAATCTGGAAGAACATGAAGAAAAGCTTCTCAAAAGAATGTGTATTTCGGTTCGGTTCTTCGGAATCGAATCGAACCGAACCGAAAAATACGATATTTTTTTTTACTCGAATCGTTCTAAATTTCTTAACGATACTATTTTTAGAAAACCGAATTTTCCAGAACTGGAACCAAACCAAACCGAATTTTAAAAATCCTGAAAAACCAAATTTTTTTAAAAGAAATCTATCTTTTAAAAAAAACCGAAATCGAATCATATCGAACCGAATATAATATAAAAACCATTGGTACCTATTTTTATAAAAATCGAAAAAATCGAATCGATATATTTCTATCACGAATCCGAACCGATTACGGAGACGGCCGATATACATAGAGAGGAAGAAGAAAAAGTATATGGGTCGTTTTCTAATGGATTGTGAGAATGAAGTGAAAAAGAATAATGGGCCTTTATCTAAGCCCATAAGAGAAAAAGGGAACGAATCTGAGCCGTTGGATCTAGGGCTCAGGGTTTTGTGAAGAACCTTTTATAGGTTTTTGAAAGCTTTTCCTCGAGTCGTCGTCTCCGCTACGGCTGTTGGGAAGAAGAAACCCTAGACGAAGAGCAGCGAAAAATGGTGCAGCGGCTTGTTTACCGTACGCGGCATAGCTATGCCACTAAATCGAACCAGCACCGTGTCGTCAAAACCCCAGGTCCGCTCACTACATCTATCGCTCTATATGTGTTTGTGTATGTGATTCTGTGTATATATTTTTTAGTGTTGATTGTTGATTGTTGATTGTTGATTGTTGATTTTGGTGGTTTGCAGGAGGGAAGCTGGTATATCAAACCACGAAGAAGAGGGCCAGTGGTCCGAAATGTCCTGTCACGGGCAAGCGGATTCAGGGTGTAAGTCTTCTGATTTTGAAATGTGATTTTGTTTTGTTTATGTTCTTGGATTTTTTTCAAGGTTTCGAATGTTGGGGAGACAGGGATGTATATGTATTGATCTGGACAATGCTGAGATCTTGTTGAATCTGCTTGCTTTGTTATTTATTGCTCTAGATTCTGTACGAAGTCTAGGAATTGTCGGCGAAGATTGTTCTTAGAAACCTTGTTCGATTAATTTTCGTTGTGCATATCAATGTAATTCTGCTAGGGGGTTTTCTTTGGAAAATTGTAATGATTGCTTAGATTTTCATTTGGAAAGCCATTATCTTTCATGTATTTCCCTTACTGTTTGGCAGTATCCTTGCTCTTTTAGGTTATGGATTTGAATATTGGTTAAAAAAAATGCATATTGGTCATTATCACAGGCGTGTAATGCAATATATTTACTTGAATCGCAATGGCTGTTACTAAACATGTATGAATATCAAGGTCTAAACTCGGCTGACCAAGCTGTTTCAACTGTCCTTGTCTGAACACGCTACGCTGTCTAAATGTCTGTTATGGACGAGTTTATTTGTCGCCGATGTTCCTGTCTCCATTATGGTTCTATTCTTGTGCTTATTGACGGTCTTGTGCTGATCAGATGGACCTCCATCAGCACGTAACATAATCATAAGCTACATTTATGTGCCATCTCGTCTTTCAAGTTTTCCCTTTCGATACTTAAGGGATTGCTATCGATCCGTGGCATAAACTATCATTGTTCTAAATAAAAACTTTGCATTCGTTTTGTTTCTAGGGCAGTTTGTATATATATCATTGTCGCCCTATATACCCTGAATATTATTAACATACTCTTGACTATGTTGTTTCTTTAGATCCCACACCTTAGACCTGCTGAATACAAGAGATCCAGATTGTCTAGAAACAGAAGGACCGTAAACCGTGCATATGGAGGAGTCTTGTCTGGTTCTGCTGTAAGGGAAAGGTTTGTTCTCGAGCTTTTACTCTTCATTTTCTCTCTTTCTTTCCCCGAACTCGAGGATATGTTCAACTCATTGGCTTTCTTTCGGTTGCATTTCGTCCCAAAGGATCATCCGGGCTTTCCTCGTTGAAGAGCAGAAAATCGTGAAGAAGGTGCTGAAGCTCCAAAAGGCCAAGGAGAAGCTAGCTGCCAAGAGCTAAGTCGTTCGCCTACACCAAATAATCTGTCTTTATTATGGTTCTGTTCTAATGGTTAGGACTTCCTCAGTTGTGGGAGCTTGTACTCATCCAATTTTTATGCTTTGTATTGTTTTTTCTTTTTTGGATCTGACTCTGTCGACAATTAACTCTACTTCAGTTTTGTTTTCGTTTAAATGTCTGAATTTCCATTCAACGTTGAATTCTGACTTCTATATCATCTAGTAGTTAGGTTTATATTTACATTTTTTTAACCTTTTCGAGTAGAAAAATGAAGGGCAATTTTTTAACAGCGAGGCAAACCGAGTTGAACCGATTCAAATTTGATCCGGTTTTAGTTTGGCTTCGGACATTACCATAGCCAGGTGTGCGACCCGGGTCGGGTCCGGATTAGTCAGGGTTAAGCTCCGGATACCGGGCGGACAACCAAAAAACATGTATTTTCTTGCATTCAGAAAGGAAAACCTCCTACAGTGAAAAAATAGGGAACATTGCTCTCGCAAATTTAAGAGACATAATCTAATTAAGAATTTTTTTTTTAAAAAAAAAAAACCGGTCCCTTGGAAAAAGAAACATTTGGCCAAGAGTGTCACAAACACATAAAATATCTAACCAAACAACTGTCTAAGTAAAGCATCTGGTTATGGTAGAGAAACAAGGAGGAAATTCGCCATTAATGGCTGACAGTGAAGGATAACTGCCCTCAAGCAACATGTTCCGCTTCAGATCTTGATGATGATCATCCATTTCAAAGCCGCCACCCATATACCGAAACGTCTCGAACTGTTGTTCTTCGTGGTTTCCTCTCATGTTCCTCTTCGTACGGACATTTTCTTCGAATCCATTCTCATGGTGTTCATGCGGGAAACTCACCAGGGCAGGACACTGTTCTTGAGCTGCTACAGCTGATCCAAAGCCGATGTCTCGATCCATACGGTCTGTAAATTCTCCCAAAACCGACGAATCTGGCGACACGTTCAATAGCAAGGACGATATATCGTTCGAGGTCAACTTCTGAAACTGTGACTGCGTTTCTTGTGAAGCAAGTAAGAGGTTCGGGTCGGGAAACGGAACCGAGCTGATGACGTTGCCGGGTCTGTCGTAGGAAGTGAAACCCAAGTAAGATAAGGGATTGGAAATGGTGGCAGTGAGAGGAGTTCTACTACAGTCGGTCGCGTTTTTGTCATCAGAATATGGGATTTGATGAAAGTGGACATAAGCACTGGTTTTGAGGATCTTGTCTGAACAAGATCGAGTTGAGTTTGGTGTTTGGAAGGTTGTTTCTGGTGGTAACGAGGAAACAAACGAGTGAGATAGAGCTCTTTTTAGAGCCGTTGGATTTGTCTTCTTGAATATTCTGCATATAGCCCATGAATCCTGCAAAAAAAAAAAATCATATTAAACTTTATTCAAATAAAACCTAACCATTAAAAAAAAAAGACCACTAGTCAACCTTGGTGTCAAATAATTGTTTTTATACCGGACAATACCCTAAAAAGTCACTAACTTACAAAAACAAAATTCATTTTAAATCAGAAATTTTGTAATTTCTATATAAAATCATAAATCTTGCCATATTCCCACAAATTTATTAATTTTATGAAAATTTTAATTTCCATATAAAATTATAACCCTTATGGATTTTACGGGAATATAACAAGATTAATAAAATTCATAATCTTATATGAAAGTAACAAAGTCAATGATTTCATATTGATTTTTTTTAAAAAAAATCGTAATTTTTTAGTTTATTTTTCTTAAAATAATATCCAAAGTATTTTCATTTGTAACCCTGTTGGATTCAAGTTTAACCTATCAAATCTCATATATATATATATATATATATATATATATATATATGTCACTCTTATTCTACATTTCCAAACAAAATGAGATTAAAATTTATTAATCAAGAAAAATAGTAAAAAAAAAAAAAGAAAAAGAAAAGAATTGCTTACGTTGGGAGAGAGAGCGTTCTCGAAGAGCCTCTTAGGAGGAGGAGAAGCATTGTCGGAAAGAGAAGGCAGGCGAAACTCATGCATCATCCAATCCGTCTTGGCGCCTTTGGCGGCTCTTCCTCTGTAAAACACTAAAGATTTCTTCAGCCCGATGCATCTGCTTCCGTCCGACGAGTAGATGGGACGGTCGGTCCCCGTCGCTTTCCAGAATCCGGCTCCCGTTACACGGTTCGGCCTTGCGCTGTTCCTGTACTTCCTGTCCCTCGGACAGTAGAAATACCACTCCTTCTCCCCCGCCATCGCAAACTCTGTATACGTACGGTCCAGATATGAAAAAACAATCATTACATCTATATATTCGAAAATGGAATCTTTAAAAAGGTATTATATATATGCTTCCTATGAGTTCAACTATTCGTCTTTTGAGTAAAAACAAATCGTTAGGGCTATAATATGAAATCGATCGTACTTGGAAGATCCCATGGATCGTATTTGTAGATATCGAGTTGTCTGATGAGCTCGACGGATAAAGGTCGTTGTTGAACCTTCCGCCTCAGGTAGAAGCTCACGAGCTCTTCGTCAGTCGGATGAAACCTAAACCCCGGTAGCATCATCTCCTCCATCTTCTCACCCTCTCCTTTGTTCTTGTCTCCCATTTCGAGCAATCTCTTAAGGGTTTTACTTATGATATTATCGTGAAAACCCTAGTAGATCACCGAGTGAAAGATAGAGAGTTTAGATCAAGGTGAAAAAGAGAAACCCTAGATAGGAACAAGAAATGGGAGAAACCCTAAGTTGGGTGAGAGAAAGTGAAGTCCTTTTGGATTAATTTGAACTCAATATATGCTTCCCTGTCGAGGGGTCCGAACCCGAAGGATCAGCCGCCTTTTTTGGCGATCCTTTGAGTTTTTTAATGGAGATGAAAAACCTGTTTGCGGTTTGCAAGAAAATTATTTTATATATATATATATATGGAAAACGAGGAGAAGAGCCAAGAAAGAGTGAAGTTAATAATCATACCAAAAAAAAAAAGAGTGAAGTTAATAAGTTCCTTTTAAACACGAGGGCAAGTACCAAGAAAACGAAAGTTTTAAAAAAAATGCGTCATGGGTTAATTTCATTCATTAATTTACTTCAACCATGTAATCTATAGACTACCATGAATCTAAGTAATTGGGATATTCATTCTTCTCAACATATATATATGTATATATATATATGTGTGTGTGTGTGTGACCACAAAACTTGTGCATTAATGTTAATTAATCAGTTGTGATATTTCAAAGTATCATTCGTATTTTACGTAAAAAATTTCTTATAACCATTGTAAATACTGAAAAATTGTTCACATTATATATCCCATACGTATTGTATGTGTCACGTGGAAGTAGGAGTGCATGTGTATGCGTAAACGGATACAAACACTTTTGACGTGTATCTCTAACTTTAACTATTTTTTATTTATTTTATATTAACTCTGTACTCTCTGTTTTAATGCGTGTATAATTGAGTATCGCGACAAGAAAATGAAAGCAATAAATAAATATTTGTAAATGTTGCTTAGGTTCGAAGACTTGAAAACGAACAAGGACCGAGGCCAACTGCTAATACAAAAAGAAAAAAAAATTCGATTTTTATATTTGTCAATAAATTAAAATAGTATTAATCGAATTCCTTCAGTATCTAATTAATTAAGGATTAAGAATAGATTAATATGCAAATTATCAGAATCCGAACTTCCCGTTTCTATTCCATTCCCCTCGCAGCTTCTATTCCACTGACTTCTGTCAGAAACCGACAAAAACAAAATTTTGAGTCTTGATACTAATTAATTGACTACTTTAACCCTCGCGAGTCATTCATAGATAGTCGCCCAAAGAGTATTTTCTGTTGACCATTTTGGTAATTTCACACGATCCATACTAAGGTTTGACTTTTCTTTGCTCTTTAGGGTTAGGAATTTTTATGGAATTAGTTGAACGAATTCGTTTCGATGTTTTCGGATGCATGTGTTGATGGATATTTTATTTACTTTTGTGGCAAAATCTTTGAGCGCATTAAGCTAATTTATTTAAATTCATAGCGTAATCTTTGAGTGCATTAATTAAGCTAATCAACTCCACGAATTCAGTGTGATTAACCCAAAAAAATTCATACAAAAAAAAACTCCACGAATTCCATGTTAATTTATAGTTTTTCTATAAATTAAAAATGAAAAATAAACAAAAAGACACAAAACAATTCAGTGCAGTAAGTAATTAAATTTGAAAATTGTTGTTATATAAATAATGTGAATTACTTAGAGGTGAGCGTAGTGCATTAATATATATATATATATATATATGTATATGTATATATATATATAAAAGTAAAAGTCAAATTTACTCGAATTTCCGAACACCAACGTATAGATTTCCTAAAAAAATTGTCTCGCTTTTAGTAAAAATCTGTTTGAACTTTGAATTTTTTTAACCTCTCCTTTTACTTAATCATTTTTTTCTACAAGTACCATCAATTCCATCGATTAATATTCACTGCACCGCCAAATAGTAAAGAATCCTATGAAAGTGAACCTGATAATAAATATCACATTGGTTAGGTAAATATATTCTTCAACCGGACTCACGCTATTATTTTATACATATATATTTTAAGTGGAAATGATCAAAATTCATTACTAAAATTAGTAAAATATAATTGTTTAAAATTTATGTATCAATGATTTGATTGTTGATGATTTTTCTGGTATATTTAGAACTCCAATTTATATTTTGAAAATTGGTATTAGTTAAATATTCTTTTCAAAATATTTAGTGACGAATCTCACAAGCCAAAATTCTAGGGATATAAAAACAGCTGAATTTCGGAAAAGCCATGGTCCCTCGGTTAAAAATCCATTTTTTCTCTCTAGTTTTTGACTCTTTTGAGTTTTTTTTTTACTTTCCAAACGTGTGCACTTGATTTTAGAGCTACATTTAATTTCGTGTTTTTAAAAATATTAGTAAATAATATGCTGAAATCTATTTTATTATTATTATTATTATATTTCACCTAGAATCTATTTAGTTAATCAAAGAAAGTATGAAAATCGTGATATTATTATGGGTCAAACTTTCAAAGTCTTCGAGCCCAAGTATCCACACCTCTTTATTCGTGAAAATAATTAGCTTTTCTTTCTAGTGTTAAACATGTCATTAATTTTTTTTTTTATAACCAAGATGGTTTCTCAGGCCTTCGACCCGACTACATCCACCCTAGGTCGGGACCAACCTTTGTATATAGACCATTTTAGTGTAAAAATTATACATCTCTCCACCAGTGAAATCGAATCCAGGATCTTGAGGATGACTTCTTCACCTCTCAGCCACTGAGCCACCAACTGTTGGGTATCATGTCATTAATTAGACACTAATCCTTCCATTTTAGAGCTCTTATATTTGATATTTTTATTAATGAATGGAAAATTTAATAACCAACACTTAATTAAAACTATACAAAAATACCTGAATCTCCCCAACTCCACTATAGATTTATATATATAAAAAGATTCGAAAGAAAATTTTCTTTTCATGCAATATTACAAAATAACTGCATGGATTTCAACAAGGAAATAACCGCAATATTACACTGGTGGATGGGCCGTAATGGGCCCAACAAGTAAATACTAATGCAAGCCTTGAATCTAAATCCGTCACACACACACACACACATACATACATACATACATACATGCATACATGCATACATGCATGCATGCATGAATTTGGGTTAAATGAGGCAGAAAAACGGGGTCCATGTAATAATGAAACAATTGAATTTTGAGCATTACAAAGGACATGGAATGGATGGTTCACCAACGCGCATTCTTAAAAGACTTTTTGGAAAAGAAAAAGTATGAACTTACCTTATCATCTTTAATTTTCAAGTACAAGTCTATTTTAGATATTAATAAATAAATCCTATTGATATTTCAATTTTTCCGTACAGTCGGTGAGGTGAGGCTCCTCATTCGAAAATTTTGTCTTTGTGACACTGTTCAAACTAATTTTGTATTTTTTAAAATAAATCAATTTACTTATCTTTTTTTTTTTTGCAATGGGAATAATCTAAATATGCATTTATGTATTTTTTTAAATTATTGATTTTTTTATAAAAAAAATCAGACGTTGATTTGATACGTCATAGTAATGGCATTTCACTTTCTCCTCTGTTTTTAAAAAAGCACCTCTCTGTTCCTCTCGACGCCCGTCCATGGCGGTGATGGCGATTCACACAAATTAGGAGCTTTTTTTTTTTTTAGAATTTAATCCCACACATCTGGATTCAATATTTTCACCACCGCCGACAAAAAAACCCTCCAAGTCCCCAGATTTCCCTCTTCTGATCATCCAACTGTCTTGTGGGGACACCTGGATTCGTTCCTCTCGATCGGTATGTTTCTGATCGATTCTTTCCGACAAATCTACTTCTAGTCCTGGTTGGATCGGTTGTCCATTGTCGTGAAGTTATGTTTTCTCTTTCTTGCCAGATTTGTTAAGGTTTCCCGTTATAAATAGCCTAGTGATAGTGTTGGATTACGCAGCTAGCTTGCAGGATCTTTAGGGCTCACGCCATTAATGAGCAGTGATGTGATGGATCTTTGTCAATTTACGCTTAAGATTAGTTGCTTCTTCCTGAAGATAACACGACTGCATCGTATGCATATCTCCGAACATGTTTCGCTAAAGATGGCGTAAAGTTTTTCACTTTTGTTTTTAGCCTGTCTTCGGATTACTGTCTTGATTCAATCTGTCATGTTCTGGGTCTTGTCCCGATTGGTGGAATTTCTAATTGTTCTTCCTAAGTTCCTATGGTGCTACTAAATCTAAAGATTCATCCTTTTTTCTGGGTCTTGCCCATTTGGCCATTTGAATCTTTGCTGGGTTTTGTGCTCTACCATTGATTTGGAGCTGATCTGGATCGATCGATACGGTTTTAGGGTTCATCAATGGCGTTGAAGTCTAGTTCTGTTGATAATAAAACCAGGAGCTCTATACAGATCTTTATCGTGGTCGGGTTATGTTGCTTTTTCTACATCCTTGGCGCATGGCAGAGAAGTGGGTTTGGCAAAGGAGACAGTATAGCTCTTGAGATGACGACAAAGACCGGGTCGGATTGCGGCGTTGTCCCGAGCTTGAGTTTCGAGACTCGTCACTCGAGCGATCTGTCCATCGGCGAATCATTGTCAAAAGCCGAGGCTTTCGAGCCATGTGATGCCCGTTACACCGATTATACGCCGTGCCAAGATCAAAGGCGTGCAATGACATTCCCGAGGGAGAACATGATCTACCGAGAAAGGCATTGCCCGTCCGAAGAACAGAAGCTACGTTGCTTGATTCCGGCCCCCAATGGATACGTGACCCCGTTCCCGTGGCCCAAGAGCCGTGACTATGTCCCTTACGCGAATGCACCATACAAGGCCTTGACCGTGGAGAAAGCTATTCAGAATTGGATTCAGTATGAGGGTAATGTATTTAGATTCCCAGGTGGCGGAACACAGTTCCCTCAAGGTGCGGATAAATACATAGATGAGCTCGCGTCAGTGATTCCGATAGGCAATGGAACTGTTAGGACAGCGTTGGACACTGGTTGCGGGGTATGTTTTGTCTCGGGCCATCTCTCTTGAAGCTTGTTTCTTTCCTTACATGGTGAAAACCTTGATGGGAGATTTGAGATTTCGTTTCAGGTTGCGAGTTTTGGTGCGTATTTATGGAGCAGAAACGTCGTTGCTATGTCTTTTGCACCGAGAGATTCCCATGAGGCTCAGGTCCAATTCGCTCTAGAGAGAGGCGTTCCCGCTGTTATCGGTGTTCTTGGTACCGTAAAGTTGCCATACCCGTCGAGATCTTTCGACATGGCTCACTGCTCTCGTTGCCTGATTCCATGGGGAGCAAATGGTTAGGACAAAACCCGTTAAAACTCTGACCAGATTGTGTCGGTTCGATCAGATTCCCGATCAGATTGTGTCGTTGCATGTTTTTGCAGACGGAATGTACTTGAAGGAAGTGGACCGTGTACTGAGACCGGGTGGATATTGGGTGCTTTCTGGTCCTCCGATCAACTGGAAAACCAACTACAAGGCGTGGCAACGTCCCGAGGACGAGCTCCGAGAGGAACAAGAAAAGATCGAGGAGACTGCCAAGCTTCTTTGTTGGGAGAAAAAATACGAACATGGCGAAATCGCCGTTTGGCAGAAGAGAGTGAATGATGAGTCGTGCCGCTCAAGACAAGACGACTCGAGAGCTAACTTTTGCAAATCCGATGACCCGAACGATGTCTGGTAATGTTATTTAACAGTTAGCATCATGGTTTACTGCATCGAGTTCCATATGTAATCCGGCTTGCTTCAATCCTTTTTCGCTTTCGTTGCTCTGATCATAGGTACAAGAAAATGGAGGGATGCATTACCCCGTATCCCGAGGTAAGCAGCCCGGAGGAAGTTGCCGGGGGAGAACTGATGGTTTTCCCGGAGAGGCTCAACGCAATTCCCCCGAGGATATCGAGCGGTTCCATCCCAGGAATCTCTGTCGAGGATTACGAAGAGGAAAACCGGCAGTGGAGAAAGCACGTAAAAGCGTACAAGAGAATCAACGGTCTCCTCGATACTGGAAGATACCGAAACATCATGGATATGAACGCGGGTTTCGGTGGATTCGCTGCAGCTATCGAATCCCCGAAACTCTGGGTTATGAATGTCGTGCCCACGACGAAGATTCCCGAGAAAAACATGCTCGGTGTCATATTCGAACGGGGACTCGTCGGAATCTACCACGACTGGTAAAAAGTCTCTTCCTTTTTTCACATTCTTACCGAAAGGAAGATGCTTTACACCGCAATTCGGATTCAGGATTTACCGGTTGGTAACAATCTCAGGTGCGAGGCTTTCTCGACATACCCAAGAACATATGATCTTATCCACTCGAACCATCTCTTCAGTCTGTACAAGAACAAGTACGAATCTTTGGTCTTTATCTCTATCTCCCTTATGTGGATCTTGAAAGCTCGATTCTTCGTTACCGATTTTTGTCGAATGAATGGATCGAAACCTTAGGTGCAAACCCGAAGACATTCTTCTGGAGATGGATCGGATTCTGCGTCCAGAAGGGGCAGTGATTTTCCGGGACGAAGTCGACACCTTGATCAAGGTGAAGATCATTGCCGGAATGAGATGGGAGTCGAAACTGGTCGACCACGAGGACGGCCCGTTGGTTCCCGAGAAGGTCCTGATCGCTGTAAAGCAGTACTGGGTCGCCGGCGGAAATTCCACGTCAGCAAACTGAGATTTTCCGGCGATGACCACCGGAAGTTTTTTTATCAAATGCTAACACCTAACAGAGTTGTAAGATTCAACGTCTAAAAATTGTATGAAACTAAATTTACTATTTATGATTATTATTGCTTTCTTTTTCCTTTTTAAAATCTGAAAACCTTTGATGAAAGCGTCGGTTTTCAGACAAGACAACATTCTGGATTTCGGTTTCAGGTTTCATACCCTTTTGAAGGGTACTTACTGTCTGAAATGTTCGTTTCGATTGATTATTATACAATCAAAGATGGAAGCCATTGTAATTTGTAACACAAACTGTTTATATGTATGATGTTGTATATACAAATCTCAAACTTCATCTAATTCCCCCTAATGGAACCAAATCTTTAAGCCCAACAAAAAACAAAAACAAGAATCAATCTTCCTTCAAATCTTTAGCAGGGCGAGCTTCAAGCCCTCCTCCATCTATCCTTTTCTCAAGCGAATAATCCATGTAAGTGCCAAGAATTCTATCCCACATCACGAAGAAGGGCTGGGAAAAATTGTACTTACTCCCATACAGCTGATGATGAACATCGTGATAGGCGGTGTTGTTCTTGAAGACGATGTGGAAAAGATTCCCGGGAAGCCATAACCCGCAATGGTCGTCGACGGTCTTGATGGTGGCAAAGGAGAAGAAGAAGACTGAAGTCCGAGGAGACATACCCGAGAGGAGGAAAGACAAGGCCCCGCCAATGGTATCGAGCAGAAGGCCTTCGCCCGGGTGGTTGTACAGAGCTCCAAACGCGTAAGGGACAACGAGACGATGATGTTGGGAATGGATATGTCTGTACAAGAACTTGTTGTGATGCATATACCGATGCATGAAGTATTGCCAAGTGTCGAGGACGATCATTGCCGTTATAAACTGTCTAGCTGTAACCATAACTGAAGTCTCCTTCTCCTTGCCGAACTCTGCATCACTTCCTGTCACCTGTAAGTTTATAGTTTACACATTCAGACATGTACGAGAAGAGACGGATCATTATGTTGTGCAAGCATGAAGACAGAACCATCATTGCAGGATCTGTTCAATTCTTAGAAAGAATCAAAGAATCCCAAAGACCTTATTGAATAAGAAAACCCACAAATTCAAAACCAAAGTTTTTCCTCTGAATACTACTGGAAGCCATTTTCACATCTGATAATCTCATGGGCTAATTCAAAGGAGCAAGCTTTTTCATCGAAACAAGCAAACTGCGATATGATCTTCAGATCATGAACTTGTTCATTCGGTTTCTGGGTCTTATTTATCGTTTTTCATCGACCAGCCCATTTGATCAAAGAAAATCAGAACGAGGCAACACACCAAATAATCAGAACTTCACCCAAAAGTTTCAACCTTTCATAAGCAAAACATGAAATTCTTACGGCAACGACATAAACTTCCGCATACATACGAATCTAAGATCATCGAAAGAACAACAAAAATGGAAACTTCACCGAGAACAGGAGGATAGAGACGAGGGCTTGAACGAGCTGCTGGAGAAGAACCCCTTTCACAACGGAGGGCTTAGAGACGAGATTCTTCTCCTCCTCCACCTTCGGATGCAATCTGTATTTCTCTAAAGGGGAAAGTGCCACATAAATCCCAGAATAAACCCAATAAACCAAAATCGGTACCACAGTTCCCAACAATTCGTCCGACACAGCAAAACCCATGATCCTAAACCTGGAATACCATTAAAAAAAAAAAGAAATCGACAAAAAAAAACTTTCTGGGTTTTCAGTGAAATGGGGGTATTATTGTTTCCACTTTCCAGGGTAAAAAAAGGAGCACACAGAAAAGATAGATCCCACAGCTACAAATGGCTGGATTATTTATCTGTCCATTTGATGGAAAGAAAAATCCCAAGATTTGATGATTACTCAAGTGGGTTTGTAAATGAATTTTTGAATCATTTCAGATTTTGGTTTTTATTGCGAAAAAATAATAATCTGTGAAAAAAAATCGTTTTTTTAAATTTTTTATTTGATTCGGTTCGCTTCATTTTTCTTAATATTTACAAAATTATAAACATTCATTTATTCGTTTTAATATCACATTCAATTAGATTACAGATATTAACCAAATTTGTCACTCGTGTTCAACGTAGCAGTCTAAAACGAAAAAGGCGACGTGGCAGCTCCTGAACAGATCTGAAGTCAAGAGAGAGAAATCGGACCGTTGAATTCGTGTAAACGACCGTGACGATAAAACGACGCCGTATTGCTTCCGGTTTATTTCTGGTTCGATTTAAATTGTCCGGTTTATCAACAACTGTTTCCCTAACCGCTTCGAGGTCTAGGCGTTCAAGACCTTTTGACAAACATCACTTGATTCATCATATTCATTCCTGAATAAATTGTTTACGATCCATCAAAGAATATCTAATCCTTGTTTTAATCTTTTCATAATTTACAATGAAATTATTACAAGAAAATGTCAGGAAAAAACATGTTTTGACAATTTTAGCCATCAACTTCTCCAAGATATAATCAAAGGCTATGAAACTTGCATCTCTTGACTCTCCGGAGCCTTTTTTGGGAAATTGAGACTGCTCTGTATCGCTCTCTTCCGAGTTCCTGAAACATTGGACGAACCCACAAAATCATTCGGTAAAAATCCGATCGATAGTCACCGAATATAATTCACATTATGCACAAATGACCCGACAGGACGATCGATAAGTAAGTACCTTTATCCGGGTCCTGCTTTATCGATGCAATGACAGTAGATTTCCAATCCTCATACTTGCCTTCCTCCGTCCTCTTCCTCTTTTTGTGACATGAATGCTGCAGATAAGGCCAGTCAAAATTTAGTATGAGTCAGCCATTCAAAACATGAACCACTGTTTCCATTTTGGCGGAGAAATTGACTCTATACCTCATCCCCATCATCAGAGGAATATCCACCATCCTCCACTCTCCTCTTTTCGGGCAACACATCAAGCAATTCTGCACAAAATCATGAACATGATTAGAAATGAAACAATGAACTGAAGGAAATGGGGGATTATTCCCGATTCAAAGGTGGGGAAAAAGATAAATCACACCTCGATTTCCTTTCACTTCCTTTGGATCTCTCTTCTCCTTCGAAACCCCGAAACAATCATAGCAGAGGTCTTTCATTGAGGTAGATACCTGTTTTGATCCAAGAAGCTCCAAGATCAGAGCTTGGATCGAATTTTCCATGATAGAAACAAGTGTATCTAAATAAAGCAAAGATTTTTTTAACTCACACAGGAAAATTCAGATTCTGATGTCCCACAAACCTCAATCAACCTGTTCTTGTCTACCTTGAGCTGAAATCAAAGAACCCAATTAAATTCTTCATATTAGAATCCAACCAATGGCAATTCCTAATCATAACCCAAATAAAGATAGTATTTAAAGTATTACCTTCTGCTTCTTGGCACACAAATAGAAAGCAGCAGCTGTAAACACGGGCCTTGTGAAATCGGCATTTGCCCGTCTTGACGCTGGTAAAGATGTAATAAACCGCTCCTTGTATCTACAGAAAAACAAAAAGGAAATAGAAGAAAAAATAGATGGAAACAGGTAAGAATTCAATCTAAACCCATTAATGGCCATCAAATTGTATGCGGCATTTCAACAAACACATGGTGTACGCAAATTTAGGGTCAACAATGAAGTAGATGCGCCATGAAGAAGAGATGGAATCTTACAGAGACAACGCTTCCCTCACTGTCCGAACTATCCTCACACAGCCAAATTGAATCGCTAATTCTCTTACATCCAGCTTAATCCTGAGACACCCATAATCCGCAGACCCATAAAACCCCGTCAAACCCAAATCACGTAGAACGAATCGATCAAAAACCAATTTGCAGATCAAGCGATATGGGACTCACTTGAGACCAATGCCATTTTGCAGTGTATTGAACGATCTTGTATAAGCCTTTTCGGACATACCACTCAACTTAATCGCTGCTTGTCTATCGAAAATAACCTGCAGCCTACAACAAATTCGATTCAATTAAAGGATTTCCCAGGTAAACGACCAACACCCATTCACTCGAACTAACAATCTGGCTATTCGAGTACCTAGACGCTGCGATCTCCAGACATATCACAGATTTACAGATCTCACCCTGCGATCTCAAAAACAAAACCACCGATTTTAAATCGCCGAGATGAGAAAATAAAATCAGAATCTTATCGATCTAGATGACAACGCTTCTTACAACGCCGATGATGGAGGAATCGAACTGGACATCGCAGAGACGGCGAAGCTCGGCAGCTTTCCGGACCAGAAGCTTGTTCTCGGCGAGACCAAGCTTCCTGGCGACGTCGGAGATATCCATTTCCGGTTTAGAAGCGACTCTTCAGACGGCGAATCCAGGAAACGAGGCTATTGGTAATATACAATATAGATTGAATCGGGGGCAAGATTTTGGCGGGAGAAGACGGGAGCTTTGGGGTTTATTTTATTTTTGAAATATTGACCCGCGCCACTCCTGTTTCTCCCGCCGTCCGCTTCGTATAATTTTTTTTTTTAAAAAAATCGAAATTATAATTTATAATTTCCATAAAAAAAATGGGCCTTACTACCGCTAGGGAGGCTGGGGAATGATTTCGGCTTTCGATCCAAAATCAGGTCTTTTGGGTTTTGGATTGGGAAATCCCATATACAGATATATTAGTAATGTAAAATCGGTTTGTTTGGACCGGTTCGGTCCAGATTGGTCCAAACCAAACCAATTCGTTTTTCATTCTGAATTGTTGGATTGGATCCGTTTTTTCACGAGTTTAAAAAATTGTGCCTAGTTCCAGAGCAAAAAAAAAAATAAAAAAATAAAAAAATAATTAAATTTTTTTTATAATTAAAATTGATAAATCTTTTTTTATAATTAAAAAAATAAAAAATAGTTTTTTTTCTGGTTCGCGAGTGAGTTTGCGACTCACAAAAATAAAAAATAAGAATGCGAAAAATGCATCCAAAGATTGAGACGAAATCGAGATATCGGAGTGGAGACGAGACGCCGAGGGTTCGGAGCAAGAAGCTGTAATGAAGCAGAAAGAGATTGACATTTTTAACAAATGGAACATAGAAAACAATGGAAAGCTGAAACAAATGAAGAGATTCGGTCGGAACTAGAGATAACGTTCAATACTTACCCGAAACGCTAACGTACAAATCATAAGGTTATTGACAAACGAGAGAAAAACCCGACACCGAAACCAATAATGACTGACGGATTTCGATTCCGATTTCCGTCCCCGTTCCCGCCCGACTTTCAAGCAAGATAACGGTAAAGTTTCCTGTCCGTACTGTCCCTCTCCAAGAAATCGCGTTCGATAAGAGACTCGATCCTCTTCTTGATCTCCGTGGGATTGGCCAGGAACCTCGACTGCAACTGTTTCGTCACCTCGGCGATTATGTTGTTGTGATCCAACACTCGCCTCGATTTCATTATCCGGACGATGGCCGCTTCTATCTGCGGTTTCCTGTCTTCCTCCACTCTCTGTCTCGTCTCCTGTTTCTCGGGTTCTGTCTCCTTCTGCGCCACCACTGTCCCTATCTTCACTTTGTAGAACTTGCTCGTGAACTTGTCGTTCACCACGAACGTGTCCTCCTCCCCTATGTCTTTGCTCATCGGTTCTTTTCTCAGGACGTTTTTCCCCTTCACACATGCCAGCGACTGCAGGCACCGTTTCAGATCCGGGGCGGGAATCTCTGTCGCCTGTTCGATCTCTTTGTAGCTGAGTCGGTCCGAGTTGTTGAACAGGACGAGGACACACATCTGAAACGTCGACACGTTCAGTTCGTGCTTCTGACCCTTTCCAAACACGGCTTTGATATCGGCCGTTCCCATGTTGGTCTGCCAGGACAGTCTTCTCCCGGTGTGAGTCCCGAGGTAATATGACCGGAACTTCTCGCAGAGAACCGAAACTTCAGCCGGTAGGTTACAAGGGACGGTCGGCTGCGTGGGCCATGACCCGGTTGTCAGAACCTGAACCACTAGTGTGGGTCCCTCTGACAGCTCAGAGTGGCTGCTGTAAAACCCTTGCATTGTGTCCTGCGATGTCTTCATGTCGGTGAACATGCCTTCCAGCTTCGAAGTGAATTGATACCCGCATTCCGTCTTCAGTTTCACGATCAAACTTCTCTCAGCGTCATCCGACACAGTTTTCCCGGACAAGAGGCGTTTGGCCAGATGCTGTTTGTAGTACTTTTCAAAGACATCTTTCTCCTGTAAGTAGCGGAACAGCATCATAACTTTATCAAGAATTACCTCCACATCTTCCTCGCTCACACCCTTTAGCCCTTTCCTCAGCTTGTCGTCCACAAACAGGGAGATGAACTCGGGAGAACGGGCATTCAAGTTGATGAAATACTCGAACGAGGAATTGAGTGCATTCTGGAATGTCTTATCGTTGCTGAATGCCGTGCTGATGATTTTGTCATACTTATCCCGTTCATCCAACAGACGCTGCACGAATTCCACTGGATCCTTCGACTTTTCTGGATCCATGACCAGTTGCTTGCCCATCTCCCTGAGATGCAAAGTCATAACATCTCTGACCATGATAAGACCATTGGTAACCCTACGAAACAGATTATACATTCTACCCAAGTCTTCGTACTTATCGTTGAGAAGCATATTAACCAGACCCGAATTCTCCATGTGAACCAGTCTCTGCATGTGGTTAGCAATCATTTCTCTCTCAACCACACTAGTAATCTTAGCTTCACTCTTCGGATCCAAATAGTGGGAGACCCTATCCGTTTCTTCAATCAGACGTTTCTCCGCTTTCTTCAGGTAATCTCCACAATCGCACGATTCGATAAAATCCTGAGATTCAACCTTGTAAAACTCAGCAGAAGCCTCCAAAAAGGGTTTCTCAAAGTCCTCCTGATACACAGAATCGCCCAAGTCCATGAACATCTTGATAACATTCCTCATCAACACTCTATCTATGACTTCACCAGTCCTTTCCCTATGGACTAGATCAAGGAGGGTGTTAAGAAGCCGTGTCTGGATTTTGATGGAATGCACTATGTTATCCCTCCAAAGATTAAGCCCCAGCTCATGAACAGCGGTTTTTTTGGAGCTCGGAATGTAAGTTCTGTCCATGTACATCAGAATGTCTCGGATCATCTGCAACGCTTTGTTGTGGTCGTTCCATTTCCGATTGAGCTCTTCTAGGAACGATCCTCCCTGAGCTGCCTCGATAGATTTGGATATCTCTCTGAGATGTGCGGTCATGGTGTTTACAAGCCCAGAATACAGCTTCTCGCCATATTTATGCAGCACCATGTTGTAGGCGTTTCTGTGACAATAACGAGAAAGCTAAAGGCGATTATCAGAAAAACTCGATCCGACTTACAGGCACATAGCTCAAAAGATTCAACACATCAAAGCATGATCTAAGTCTCACACCGAGCCAGAGATCAGTAACATCAATAGAAATACATTCATAACAGGAACACAACCAAGAACATGATTCAAACGAAGCCCAGTGATCAGTGACTCCCACACAACTTGCTGTGTCTAGCTACATGACCTTCTCAATGAGCTTAATCAAAGACAATAATAAGTATATATATATATATATATATATATATATATCCCTAGACCTATTGATTTTCATATTAAACAGCTCAACACCTTTCTCACAGAAGTGGAAACCCAAATCAACAAAAACTGCTACCTTCTTCTATACGATCTGAAGGGAAAACAAGCAAAAGGAACGAAGAGAAGACCTGTAAAGTTCTTCGAAACTGAGACCACTGGCGTTGTGATTGTAAATTTCATGGATCGCATGCTCGAGAATCTTCCAAGTCTTCTCGGCATATTTCGGATCGACCACGACCCGATGCTTGAACGCCTCTATCTGGAAATTTTTCTTCTTCTGGTTACTCATATTGCAAAAACGCAGCCCGAGAAGGAAATCTGAATCGGAACCCTAAATCCGAACAACACAAAACCAGAAAAGATCACCGATCACTCAAAACCAAAATCCAAATTCCAGAATCAAACCACGCAAGGGAACGATAATCATAAAAAGGGATATTCCGAGCTCGATCGAGGAATCGAAGAATATAGAATCAGAAATCGGAGACAAACCGGAAGGAATCCAAAAGAACGAGTCGAGTCTGGTTAGGGTTTAGAATGAATTCTTGTCCTCAGGAAAGAGATTTGGAGGAAACTGGGAAATGGAAATAAAATAAAAATTAATTTTAGATTCATAAATTAACAGAGACAGTGTATACATACATATATACGTATAGATATACAGGGGGCAGAGAGATGTGGAAGAGGATGAAAAATAAAGAGATAGAAATGGAGCCAGGACAGGACATTTTTGCCCTTTTTCCCTATTATCGTAAAACGGCGTCGTTTATCTATGTGTATTACCAATTTTACCCTCCAAAAATAGCTTCATTTTCAAGTCGAATCCTCCATTGCATGTTGATTTTGAAGTTCGTAGATTGCGTATTTCTAGGAGGAAGACGAGAGTCGGAGGCAGAACCATCAAGGATATATTATAAAAATTCAAATTTGTAGGAGAACCCACTAGAGATTTCTTTCTTCTTCTCCGAATCCATCAAACTCCTGGTAAATTACTTCTTAAATTTCGATCCTTTCTTTTTAATTGTTTGCTCCCAAGTCTTGTCGTTTCGATACGATTCCTGGGTTTTGATTAGATTCTCCAGTTTCTGTCTGTAGATATTCATCGGATTCTGTTCCTTTTGTAGCCGAACATGTCTGCAGACATCTGCACCGACAGGCCGTTGTTCGGCGGCGCAATTTCCAGCGCATTCCCGAATCGATTTCAGGTCTGATTTTTTAAATATCGTGTCTCTGGATCTTCTTGTTGTATGATTCGCCATTGTTGGATGAATCTTCATTGACTGTGGTGGAGAATCCTGTTTGAAAATTTCCAGGATGTGAGTAATGTTCGACAAGTTCCGGATAATCAGGCAAGTTCTTCGCATCTACTAAGCACTATCTGGGAATTTGACAACTTGTGTGACAGTTCTGTTTTTCTTTTGTCCTAATTGATTGATTCAGGAGGTGTTTGTGGATCCTGCGAGGGACGAGAGCTTGATTTTTGAGCTGTTAGACTTCAAGCATGATGTTGGAGACAATGGCAGTGCTGCCTGGTTTCTTCAGGACCTTGCCCGTGAGCAAGATGCCGAGAATTTCGCTGTAATCATTCGAATTCCTTAACTTCATGGAATCAATCATATGATATCACTTATGAAGTCCGAATTACGGGGATAGGGAGTGGTAATTAGTAGAATTAAGCCCCTGACCTTTGATAAACTTCGATAGATCTTTGTGTAATAAAGAGACATAGGAACGAATATCTCAAAGTTCGAAACTTTTTTAGGATGAATGATAACGATGTTGCCATTCCCTCTGCTACCCGAAACCCGTTATCATGATCTATGCACTTCGTTGGCTTCTTCCATCGGCATGTAGCTCTGAAACTGTTCGGGCTTGTAGTGATTCCAATGCAGTGGTTTCTTGTATTTTCTCATCTATCAAATGTGATTTCCCTGATGATATATATGTATGTGTTGTATATATGAATGATGTGGAAACTTGTTTATGATCATGGAAACTCAATAGTGATGTTACTGTTTAATTTTTCAGTTGATGGAGCAATCGGGAATCATGGAAGCTCCTGGATTATCATACAGAAACATTCCTTCTGTCGTCACAACTGCTGTTGGGGAGATGGTAATATATCATCTTTTGTGGAATTTTAGTGCAAGCTTTCTGTTTCTTATGCTCTTTCTTCTCCTTCTTATCTCTGAACTCTTTTCGCAATTGACGTTTACAGGCCATATCCAAGGGAAGACAGGGAAGAGAAGCGCAGAATATCGTTAGGGTAATAATCAAGATTTGGTTTTTTCTTTTCCGGGTTTCCTTCTTTTCGATATGGTTTATTCAGTTTTTGTTTGAAATCTGCAGCTCTATGTTGCGAATCTACGACTTAAGGGAGTCAGCACAGATGTTTTGATCACTGCCCATGAACCGATTCTGATAAAGTGAGCCACTGAAAACGTTAACTCCCGCCATTATAACGATACATTCTTGTTTCGGTATATATATACACATATATATCGTATGCCGCCATTGTTGATGTTATCTGGTTTCTGTGATTTGTATCTGAAGCCCTCTGAGCGAAAGTGCGAATACGGTTGGGGCTGGTTTAGCTGTACCGGCGGCAGAATTAGGGTTTATGCCAGTGGGTGAAGCCATTAAAGGAGCAGTCTCAAGCTTCAAAGTGCATGACTGGAGCCTTTTTGGCTCTTCTTCTTCATGATCTGAGCAAGAAAGGTTAAAACACACAATCGAGAATGAAACTCTTGTTTTTAGCTCTTTTTTTTTTAACCGATGGAGTGTAATGGGAAACTATGTGGATGGTTAAAAAAAATAACTGCAGTTAAAAGTTACGGAGGCAGGATAAATTTGCTGAAGATAGAAAAAAAAAAAAAAAAAGGTAGCAAAGGTGATAATAATATTGAAAGGAGGATGGGTGCTGGGCCAGGCCCAGGGGAGGTCTATGTTGCAGTCCAAAAGTGGTATGTATATGAGAAGAATAAGATTACGTTGAGGGTAAAATGGTAATTGAATGGATCCGACCAAAATTGATATACAATACACTTTACATATATCATTATTATTATTTGGATAAAAAACTTTCATTAGATATCATTCTCTTGTGCCAAACAAAACAGAAACAGGAACTCTAATAATCTCGCGAGTCTCTTTCGCAAATAATAATAATAATAATAATAATAATAATAATAATAATAATAATAATAATAATAATAATAATAATAGATAGATTGATAGATAGATGGATAGATAGATAGAAGACATACATGCAATGTAAACATGGTCTTGTTTGGACCAAGTCCACAGGACTTGAAGCTTGAGCCAACATATCCATTTAGTGTTTACATATTAACATATGGTTTTAACACGTTATATGTCATATGTCCATAAACCAAAAAAATCATTTCGAAAAATTAACAATTGGCCCGTCTATGGACCGATTCTCGGATGGACAAATTTATATATGACTCGTCTCATATGTAGACTTATTAGATATAAATATCCGTTGCTATTTATATAATTTGATAAAGGACTTTCTAAATTGATTAAAACAAAGTATATATGCAAAACCATATATATGTAATCGGTCCGAATATTGACCATTGATCGGACTGTGGAATCTTTTTTTTTTTTTGGAAAATCGGGTGTTTTGAATAGAGACTCAGACTAATCCCAGGATCGAGATCAAGTCATGTGATTAGAATATGCGATTTTCTTCCCGACTTTAGACTCGAAATTCAGGGCGAGCAGACGCTTCGCATCCCGTTTTGGTGATTGAGCTATCCAAATTAGGCCGGGATGATCCTTGGTTCCTAAAACTTCTTTGTAGTACAGAGAGTAACACGTGGCATATACATTATTGATGATATGAAATCGCACGAGACTTGAACATACGGGCCGGGTGTCATTATCTTCGCTAGGGGGAAATGAAATGATTCGAGTGTATGACGTAAGCCCTAGTGGGTAGAGTTTGGGAATGACGTGGCGTTGTCAGCTCACCCACCAACTCTGCCAGAGGGTCTTGAGAAGGACTACTTCCACTATGCTGTATACGTACCCATACGGCCGCGTATACGTACACAAAGTGCTCGTCCACCGTGTGCATGGAATCTACGTAGAAATCTATACACAGATGTGTGTGTGTGTGTGGATAGATAAATTGGAAAAGCAAGATTGCTTTGTCCGTATTGCCGACACGGATGTTGATACGGTTTTGGTGGTGACCACAAATTTAATAAATTGATATATGAAAAATATAAATATTTAATAATAAAATTAATAATTGGCGGGGAAAAAGGAAAGAGAGAAGGTACGTACTCGTGGTCAAACAGGAGAGATAAAGAGGAAAAATGACTGAAAAGGACACGAGGGTTCCTCAAAATCACAATGTCCGCTCGATGGCATTTTCCGTAATTTACTGGTCGAGGGTACGGAAATAAATAGATATTATATTATGGTGTTCATTATTTTAATTTGAGTTAATTTACATGCTGCTTTAAAAACGTTTCAGATGTTGTCCCAATGGGATGTCAGATTTTTCACCCAATTGAGCAAACTGGTAAATTCCCGAAGCACCAAAAGGACAACCTTAAATTTTGTTTGGATTTTCTTTTATTTTATTTGTATCTCTTTTTAACCATAAGTATTTACAGTCGCCTTTCAGTTTTACGAAAGTAAATATTATCCCTTCTTCTTTTATCGACGTTGACGCGAGAATCTCTCGAATTCTGAATTTAGTAAAAATAATAATAGTTTTATAGATCCTGCAAAATCCCCATAATATATTCTCTAGCTAAATCACAAAATTCAAAAAAGAATAGAATCATATATTTAAATTTTATCATGCGTCTCTCATATATATATATATATATATTTTTCTAAAACTGATATATGGTATGTTATTACACACAACATTTCTTTATTTCAACATTAAAATTTCAGAACCATCACTTCTCGTGGAGTTTTATATGGTCAAAATCAATATATATATATATATATATATATAATATAGAAGTTATTCATTCGCATAATTTTTCAGACATATTAATGTTCCTATACGTGACTTTTTTTTTAATATAAATAAATATACAAACTGTTATACCGCGAATCTTGTTCAACAGTTATGAAATCTCTAAGACGTGAACTTGAAATGATTTAGAATAAACGGATGTGTCGATTTCATTTTTGGAAAAGGAAAGAACATCGTTTTAGTAACAGTCCATTTCGTATTCTATCAAATAATTAAAATAGTAAATTTAACGTGATGGATTATTGTGAAAGAAAACGCAAATAGTACAAGGAGGAAAAAAAAACATCGGTAGAAAATTTATATATTATATGATTTTGTATATGGTTGAGATTTATCCTTCATATAATTTTTTAAAAAAATAACTCGAAAGACGACAAAATATAATCGATTGCGAGTTCGTAATCGAAATAAAGTGTTTATTATTCTTGGTGATGATATATAATATATATATATATTATATATACATATATATATATATATATATCCTGCAAATGTGTCAGTTCTTATAAGCTTTAAGATGAGTCAAAGACTCAAAAGACAGTCTGTCATTCTTTCAAACGTATGGCTTTTCACTTTTCCTTTGCCCTTAATTTCCATTTTCCACTATGTGAAATTTTCGGATAAACCTCTATGTATATGTATGATTTTACCATACATTATATAAATCCATGTTGCTACTATATATAGATGTATATAGTACGGAATATTATATATATATATATATATATGTGGTACGAGTGGACAAAAAAGATATATAGCAAAATGAAATTACCCAAATTAAGCAAATCAAAGTTGTGGCATCTACTTTTCTACGATTATTACACGTAGTGTTGAGTTTAGACTTGTTTCAAAAATTCAAAACGGATCTAGCCTGCAAAAAACCGTAGAAAACATTAGAATCCGAAGAAAATTGAATATTTATTATCGAATAATCAAATCTATAATCTAAGTATGGATGATCTAGTGATATCGATAAAGATTGAATAAAGTGCTTCTATCCACCAAGATTCAAATTTCATTGGATCAATTATTATTTTTTTTTAAAAGAAAGAATCAAATTTATATATTAAAAATCGATCAAGTGATAGGTATTAATAATCAAATCATAGTTAATTACGAAATCAAATCTCGTATCTTGGTTTGGCTCATGGCAATATACAAAATACTGAATATAAAAAATAACATTAGTATATATTTTAATTTCATATCTCATTCTTGTTTCGCTTGTTATACGAAAAAGTTTCTCCCGAATACAGGATGTTTATATTATTTGAGTCCACTACATCCAAATAACCTCTCGAAACTTTTAAAGGTGACAATACGATCGAATTTAATAGAATTGTGTGTTACACTTTGAAATTTAAAATTTTTAATCGTAAATAATTGTTCGAGTTAATTCAACGTGGCATTGTTACGCCGTCAAAACCAACGGAACAACAATAAATAAATATTTAGATGTTTGAACATGTCTTATGATGAGAAACATGATACCAAATTCCTTGGTTGGAAGTAACTTTTTTTTTGAAATATTTATTGGTTATTTTATAAGATCATCATCATTATCAGTTGGCCCGATAATCATGATGATAATGATAACCACGGACCGTGGTCATGAATGAAGATGACGACAGTAATATTAGGGGTGGCCATTTCGGTTATTAACCGAATAACCGAACCGAACCGTTCGGTTCGGTTCAGTTATTTGCTTAATAACCGAACGGTTGAGGAAGTTGAATAACTGTTTGGGTTCGATTCGATTCGGTTAATAACCGAATAATCGCGGCTAACCGAACAGTTATTGAATTTTTTTAATATTTTAATTTTTACCTCATTATTATTAATATTATTTTTTTATATTTTTAATTTAATATTTTTAATTTTTATCCTAATTATTGAAGTTTTTAGATTTTTTTACAAGTTTATTAGAGGATTAATCATTTTGTGCCTTTATTTGGATATATATTTTGAAGTTTATGTATGATTAATATTTTTTTCAAAATATATCATAACCGAACCTAACCGAACTAAAACCGAACCGAAACCGAAAAATATAACTGTTTGGTTATAATTTTATTATGCAAAAATCGAACTGAACCGAACCGAAACTGGACTGAACCGAACCGATTAAATCTATATAACCGTTTGGGTATGATTTTTTTATAACCGAAATAACCGAACCGAAACCCGAAATGGTCACCCATGTCTACAGTATGATCAAGATGATGATGAAGTGAAAAGGGGTGCTAATGCAGGTTCAAATAATGATATGATAACGACCGACGATCATATGCGGGAAATGTTCATAGGGTCCCAAAAATCCTGTCAAGCTTTGTTATAGATTAAATTTCATTGGTTATAGAGATGGATTAAAATCAGGTTAATTGGTTATAGATTTCATTTCATTGGCTGATTTTGGGTTTAAACTATTAGAATGAGTATATAATGTTTCTTTTAATTTCGTTCAAGATGTATATATATATATATATCAACAAATAATTAATCAAATCATACGACCGATATATATATATATATATATCATTATATACATCTCACCTCCCAACGTTCCAATTGGACCCCCAAATAAAAAGAGGAAGAGATATGACTCGGGGGAAAAAATGAATCTTAATAACGGCCAACATTCTGACAATTTTATTACATTAATTTGATTTTTTTTTTGTTAAAGTGCATTAATTTGAAAATTAAAATATTTTGATTGAATCTCAATAAAAGTAAAACGAAAATAGAGAAAAAGAAAGAGAGGAAAAAAAAGGAAAATATGGAAGGTGAGGCATCGGCATCACAGATAGTACATAACATATATGTA